GTTCTGTAAGGTTATATTTTCCCAATAATTTTTGTGATAATTCATTAAAACAGTGAAATACTTCATAATATTGTTCCATTTGCTAAAATAAAGATAGAAAAATGGGGTACCAGTATGTAATAAAAAACATTTTTTAAAATATAGAGTAGGCATAAATTAAAGGGTATATAAAAAGGATCTTTCTATTGAGCGTACTCTTCATAAAATAACGAACGCATATAAGAAGAGGTTTCCGCTAACTTCTGTGTTTCTAATATTCAATAAGTATTGTATACATATACATATATATTTTATAGAGAAAATGGTACCTATCGCCGATTTTTAATTTATTGGCACATTGACCTGCATTTAGGCAAAGTTTTTTTTGTTTTTTTTTTTGGAAAAATTAGGCACAATTTAAAATTTTGATTTTCCATCACTGCTATGAATACGCCCCCATTGCCTTAAATATAGTTTTTTAAAGAGCATAAGGACCTACCTAAAAAACGATCGATAGTACCGCTACAGCAACAACAACATAGTATCGATAGCGCCATCGATAGTTTGCCACCACTAGTGCTAACGTCGGTTGGGTTATTTTTGATGATGCGTTTCGAGCTTTTTTTCTTGCAGTTGCTTTTAATCAGATTTAAATTTTTTTCAGTTTCATTTAATTATGGAATTCAATGTTTGCATTCTTTGTATATGTATGTATGTGCATAAAGCATGAGGTAAAGCATATTGAAAGGCAGTAGCAGAGGAGCAGATTTGATTTTATGCATAAATTGTAATTTTTATTTAGTATATTTTAATTTAAAATGTTAAATTTGGTTCAACGTTTTTGGAGTTGAAAAAAACAAGAAAATAAATGTAGTTTGTTTTTGCTCTGGTGTGCCTTGTGCCAATTGCCTTGGATAGTGGAGTAAGAACTAAAAGGTTATGGAACCGAATTTGAAACTTTTTCATAAAAATAAAAAGTGTCGCTGCCTTTGTAGTGCAAGGAAAACCTTTATTTGATTTTTCGGTAAATTACAATATGTCGCTGCGTTAGCAGTGCATCGAAGGAAAAAAGAGTAAATTTTATAAACTGTTAAGTTATATTAGATGTGGTTATAAATAACATCGGATTTTGAGAATAAAAAGACGTGGTGCAATTCCAACTGCAAATCCCAGACCATGTCCACAATATGCTGAACAGCTCTAGAGAATTTAAGTGGCATGTATGTACCAATGCATTTAAGTAACTCTGTGAATAAAAATGCAATTTATTTTATTTTTATTTATTTATTTTTTCGATTATGTAGTTTATTGGTTGGATATAAAACAATCATATAGAACACATGTTTATACGGCTGTGTATGCGTGTGTGTGTGTTTGTAAGTTTTCATATACATATAGTACATATTGCATATGCACGGCACACAATTACAATACATATACAGTACATAAATATATATAGTATATATATATATATATAGTATTTTCAAGTTATACTCGCAAGAGTTAAATATAATATACACAACAAATTAAAAATAAAATAAAAATAAATAAAACAAAATACATAATGCAATTTTCGCACAAATATATCTATTTGCTTGTTGCATAGTGTTAATTAGGTAAGGGATGCTATGACGATAGTATTTTGAGTATGCAAATTGAATTTCGTTTTCGTTTTTGATTTTGTATACATAGAAATAAAAAAAATGTTTTTTAAAAAATTTTACACATTTAAAAATTATTCGTTTACCTGTTATTTGTATTTCGTTATGCGCATTTCAAGTAAAACTAAAATTTATTTTCTGTTTAAATGCAATATTTGTTGGCGCTTTAAACGAATAAAAGTTAAATTTAGTTAGATCGCACCTTTTTTTTCGTTTGCTGATTTTTTTTAGGAATTTGGGGTTTTCTCGTTTTTGCTTTTAAACATTATGTTTTTTTGTTATTCTTTCAATTGCATTACAACTAATACTATACGTAAGTTAGGCTAGTTACTAAGGGTTAAGGTTTTTTTTTTTTAGTTTTAGATTTACATGCGACTACCCAGCTTAGATGTTAAGTTGTTAAGTTTAAACTTAAACTATAGTTGTTTTAATGCATTTTGTGTTTGCTTTGTTTGATGCATTACTTTTATCTTACTTTTCTTTGTTATTTTAGAAGCATTTTAAATTTTGAAAATTCGTTATTTGCTTATTTATGCTGCAGCATAAAGTTGCACATACATATGTACAATTTACATGCAGCATGACTTCATTTTTGATTGCTTTTTCAACTTTCGCCAATCGATCTTATTTAAAATTAATTTAAATAAATACTTTTTTCCTGCTGCTTAAGTGCTAATTTCTTCAACTTTTCTTATTGAATTTAATTTATGTATTTTAAAAGCCACTTTCAACTTGAATTAATTGTGCTTTTTAAAAATTTATATATATTGCAACTATTTTTCAACATTTTCCTGTTTTCTTGACAATTTTCTGCTAATTGTACATTTATGACTTTAATTTCACATTTATATTTTCTTTAGTGATGCATTGGCATTTGAAAATTTTATTTTAAGCCAATTCGTTTTTGGCGTGATTTAAAATAATTAGTTTTTGTGATCTAATGTGTGAAATAATTAGTTTTTGTGATCTAATGTGTGAGGTCATTTTTCGAACTGAAGTATAAAAATATTTAAAATATTTTTTTTTTATGAATTGTTTTTGAAAAAAAAAAAATTATGTAGATGGCTGTGAGTGTGTGTGTGTAGGAGCAAATCTGACGTGCGCTTTATGTAGAGTTAAACGTTTGAATTTATGTAAATATCTTTGTATGAAAACTTTAAGCTCACACTGTCGTTGATATTTTTCGCACATTTTTCTGGTTAATAAAGAAGTAAGTGAAGGAGTTCGAAGCAGGAGCTATGGTTAGTTCAAGTTAGTTTGTATGCCTTGAAAGTGAGACTCGTATGGACAATGTTTTTATGTTCATGGCATTGCCAGATGTGTTAAATACTACTCTGCTCTATTGGTCATTGGAAGAAAGTTAAGGGGATTTTCGTTGTTAATTGTATAATTTCTAAACCGAAGTATGAAAAAGTGTATGGGATAAAAAAACAAATTTTCAATAACATCTCAGGTGACCATATTTTTTTTCGATTTCAATTTCGATCGCAATTTTTTTTTTGCTTCCGTTTCCTGTTTAGCTGTTAAAGCGCTTCAAGGATTTGCATTCATTTGCTTCCGCTGCTTACGTTCGCTTCAAACAGCTTATTTACGCTCAATAAGCTGGCACGCATGCGCATGGCCATTTTTTCTCTTATTTTTCTTCATCTGGGTAGCTTGCACGAATCCATTAAATTGAGTTAAAGGAAATATTTTTTCTTATTTGTTGTTTTTTTTTTAGTATTAGTATGTTTGTATGTATGTATGCATGTAGTAGTAGTAGTACAATAGTAGTAATAGTTGTAGTAAATAGTATACATACATTTTTGTATCTTACGCTTAAAGGAGCAGGGGAGGAGAAAAATACATAGTATGTCATAAAAGTATGTGTATGCACATTTAAAAAGGGTTTACATATACGCGTATATTGATGTGTGCATGAGTATGATTAAGTATGTATAGTACATATGTATGTATGTAAGCATGCTGTTTACTATTGTTAGTTTGTGTACAATTGTTGTATTAGGTTATTAGCTACATATTTTGTATGTAGTATGTATGCATGTATGACGTTAGCAGTTGTGTTTAATTTTTAGTGTATCTAAAATAAATGTTTAATTTTGTTTAGGTTATGTATGACTAATATAAGCATGACTCGTATATATGTATATATATATATGTATCTGCGGCGTTTGCAGGCTAGTCAAGTTTGAATTTTAAATATGCTCATAGAATACATAAATTCTATTTACAAAAAGAATGCAACGCTGGCGCGAAAAATACTAACGGGTTTAAAAAAAAAAAAAATTGTTTATTAAATGTTAAAAAATACGCCATAATTTTGCTGCCACAGTAATAGACAAAAAAAAAAGTGTAGATTTCGTTTTTATATCAAAATAAACACATTTTTTTTTGCTATGTAAAATTTTTGGGTTAGCCAAAATTTTCTTAATTTTTGGCGTTAATATAAGTTAGGCTTTAAAAGAGCCTCAAACGAAGCCTTCGAGTCGAGTTTTCTGGTTTTTAAAGATTAGGAAAATTATCTACCTTTTGAGGTTGTAGAAAATTTTCTTTAGGTTGTTAAAATATTTATTTAGGTTACACATACATTTTTTTTATTTTTAAAAGTTAATATTTTTTTTAAGTTTTAAAATATTTTAAGTTTTAAAAACGCTTTGTTTAGCGTTAAACCAAGTCCTCCCGAGATTTATGTTTTTTAAAGTTTAGGGAAATTCTCTATACCTTTGGCGAAACTAAATATTACTGTTTCTTTGAATTTATAGAGGTGAAAAATTTGGTACAATATTTTATATCGCTTTTGTAATGAAAAAATGAATTTTTGTGACATTACTTGTAATTTTCCATTCCCTTTGAGGTTATACGAATTTTTTTAGGCTATGAAACTTTCCTACATTTTAAAAATACTTGAAAATTAGTTGCAAAAATTAGCGTTCAATTTTTGTATTAATTTAAAATTTTTCTTGTAATATTTTTTTGTAAAATTTACAATAACTTCAAATATAATATTTTCGTTTGTTTAAAAAAAAAAAATCAAATTTTTTTCGTATAAGATTAAAAAAAAAATCTGCCGAACAAGACGCATTTAAAGCTTAAAATTTTTTAAAACTCGAAAATTATAGGTTTTAAAGCCGCTTTGTTCTTCGCATTTAAAGCTTAAAATTTTTTAAATCTCGAAAATTATAGGTTTTAAAGCCGCTTTGTTCTTCGCAAAATTAACTATTTTTTCATAATTTTTTCTTAGTTTTATACCAAGTTTTTATGCTAATTTGTAATAAAAGCATAACTTTTTGAAAAAAAATGACGCCTGCAATTCTACAACCGCGCACACTCGTTTGTTTTTTTCGTTACATAGTGTTAGTGTTTTTTATATAGTAATCAGTATTAAAAGCTTCTTCATTATTGCTATGAAATTGTGTGATTTCAGGAAAATAGTTTAAAAAAAATCGCTACGTTGCTCATGTTTAAGTTTTTGTTTTTGTTCTTGCATTTGTTCGTGTTTGTGTTGTATTGCTGTTGTTCTTGTTGTTGTTTTTGTTTGGCTTGTTGTTTTTGCTGCTGCTGCTGATGATGATGTTGTAGCTGTTGTACTTGTTGTTGTGCGGATGAACCGGGTGGGTATTCAATTGTAACTGCCGACATTTTCACAAATAAATAATATTCGCCGTACAATCGAATACCCTTGCTGTACTACCAATGCATCAAGCGTATCTGATCGAGTATTCGTTGCTTGAAAAATGTACCCAACATTCCGAACACCGTCGAAATCGCCGCTATGCCCATCATGGCCTGCATGATGCAATGTATGCCCGATAATTCCTCTTCGCTTGGCTTCTGGCGATAGCGTTGCCGATAATGTCGGCGGCCTTCGTATTCGCGCAAGCGTTGCAGCCGTTCGAGTTCCTCATCGAAGTGTGGTATGATCGCTAAATTGACTACTTCAGTTTTGGCCAGCACCTCTTCGTTGGCTATTGTATTCAATTTGTTATTACTATTGCTCGCCTCGCCATCCATGCTGCCACCATTAGTGTGGTGATTAGCGCTGCTGCCTGCCGCAGACGCCTGTTGTTGTTGATTGTGGTATTGTTGTTCTTTATGCCGCGAACGTTCGTCTAGCATTGTATTGTCGCGACTAAAATCGAAATCGAAGTTTCGCGTTTTCATCGATGTTGGATATTCGGCTAAATTGACTTTTGTTAGGAAGTGTAGTGTCGTTGTATCGATTGCGCGGTCGATTGATGTGCCAGCTAGTGAGCGTGGATCGCCGATCGATTCGGCGCCGGCGCCCGCAGCATTTGGTGGCGTAGTGGGAATGTCTTTGATGCGGAATTGCTTGAACTGATTCTTCTTTATGCCGAGCACCTCGGAGAGTGGGCGATTTATCATGGGCAGTACGGAATCGGTGGGGCGTATGATGAATGAGGAGCCGCCTGCACCAGCGGCTGGCGTTTCGGCATCGGTGTCGGGATTTTGAATGGCGGCTTTCTGTGTCTCATCTGTTGGGTGGGCTGTATTGGTTTTGCGTAAATTCGTTTGTAATCGATCGCTACTGCTGCTATTGCTGTCATTGTCGAGGTCGTAGTCGTCTTCCGACTCGTCGGCCGACTCGTCTTCGCTGCCATCGTTGTTCGGAAAATCAGGCGTATCTTTAGAAATTGTACCACTGCCAGTTGCTTTATTGTCCGTAAAGTCGTTTTTATTATTATTATTATTAAATTTATGTGTTAAATTGCGTATCGGCTCGTATTTGGAATTCTCCGAATCGCCGCGATAAAGCAGTGCAACCTTGCCATCGGGTGTCAAGACTGGCGTAATTTTCGGATGAGATGATGCTAAGCGATGACTGCTCTCAGGATCTGGCGACAGTGCATCAAAGTCGGTGAACGAGCTTGTCTTTTTGTCGCCAAGTGTATCCTGTTTTTTAATGTTGCCGTTGCCGTTGCTGTTGCCATCCTCATTTGTCGGCGTTTGTTGATAAACAATGCCGACCTTGCCCAGCGGTGTTGAGATTATTTTAATTGCGTCATTCGTATTCTTACGGAAATATCGATTGCTCGATTTAGTATGTTTCGAATTAAAATAACCATCACCTTCTTGACGGTCGGCATCATCGTTAACACCGAGACGGATGGCTACATCATCGTCAACGTTGTCATCATCATCGTCATGGACACCATCATCGCTATCATCATCATCGTCATCATCATCATCGTTGGCAAAATTGCCGCTGCCTTCGCGCGAATCGGCTACGCCCCTATTCGTATGTTCCGATTGCAGATTTTGCTGTTTTCTCCGATATTTCTCTAGGTAATCTAATCTAAATCTACTATTTTTGTACCTATTTGTGTCGGCTCGCCTGTAGGCGCCGCCACCACTAGCGCCACTGCCCTCCTCGTTCATGAAGCCCTTATCGTTGTCGTTTACACTGCCACCACGTTGCTTCTCCACAATAATGGCAATACGTTCGTCATCCTCGTCAAAACCCATATCTTCCTCCTCCTCCTCGTCAACGTTCGCTGTGGCGATGCTCGCAGTGTGCGTAATGCTTTTCGCTCGCAATACGTCCGGCATATGTTTCACAGCTTCGTTTTCATCGCCCACCAGCGATTGCACCAGTCCCTTTGCCTCCGGTAACGATTCGAATGCGCGGTCTTGTATGTGCGCTTGCGCTGTTGCATCAGCTGAAGACGCTTCCACATCGAAATCTTCGTCGTCTTCATCATCATACGCATCCTCATCGCCCTCACCGTCCTTTTCATCTTCATCTCCTTCGTCACCGTCATCGTATTCATCGTCCCAACCATCATCGCTCTCTCCACTGGGATTCAATTGCATACGCTCCTGCGCTTCTGTTACTGTGCTGTGCTCATCAGTCTCATAACTTGCACCTTCATCCACCAATATGCCACCACCTGTTACCCTCAATCCGCCGGCTGTTGTTTGCCTTAATTCCTCCTCCGCATTGTACATAATGTCGACGCGTTCGTGTGGTCTCACCGGTTCTACTTTCAACCCACTATTTGTGATATTGATGCTCCGCACTCTTTCACTCTCTACAATCTCATCCGCAGTCTTTTTCTCTTGCGCGACCATCATTTTTCTCCCCGTTTTAGTGTTGTTATTGTTAGTGTTACTATTGAATATTAGTAAATCTTTCGTGTTGCTACAGTTAAATATACATTCATTATCGTTGCTATAACTAGAGCTAGTACTTAAATTACTGTTATTATTATTATTATTATTAAAATTATTATTACTATGCTGTCCTAAATTTAAATCTAAGCTAACTTTGTGCAATTGGGTAGTCGCATCTTCCAGTCAGTAGCATTTCTTTGTACATCCACATTTACGCACGATATCTAAATTTTTGATATATTTGCGATTATTGCTGCACACCATGCGAACCTGTGAAATACATACATACGTTTTGCTTTAAAAATTTGATAATTATTTTATAGTATGCTTCTAGTAAGGTAGTTGAAAGTAATGGCAGTGTCACACGATTGTACATTTGTACAGATTTGTACATATTTTATATTGGACGGTACAGTACAGCAAAATTCTATTGAAAAAATTGACCAAATTGTTTTTCGTGATTGGGAGAAGGAAAAGTATTTGTGCATTCACACGATTAGGGTACGACTTGCACCTCCGTGACAGTTTCCTATCTAGGAGCAGGACCGAGAACTTGACCTTGTCAGAAAATCGAACACCTCCAATGGAAGGAATAGTTGCAATGGGGATCGTATACTTTCTAAGGAATAATGCTAGTATGGACCTGCTAGGATTGACGACGAGGCCGCTGTTAGCCGCCAGTTAGTAAGGTTAGATAACCTTGGGTCAGATCAAATGGGAGGGTGGTGGGGGCGCTTGTTTCCAAAAACCCACTAATAACGAAAACTCGATTCTCTACTGATAACTATTGCCGATCTCTTTGAAGGATAATATAAGCATACAAGTTCGCGGCTGAAGCCTTTAAACATCTTTATATTAGTCAAAGAAAACTCAGGCCATGAGCGATAGGGAAGAAGGAATCTCAGGTAAAGCCTCAATTCTCTTTTAGTTTTAGTCGACTCAATAAAAATGTATAAACCAGTCACCTACTTGACTACTTTTACAAAGATTACAGTAAATATTTTGTATGGGGAATGTAATTGAGCTCCAAATAAATAACCTATTTCGAATTGGTAATTACAGAGAGATAAGGCAACACCACCTTTTTTATTTGTTTTTGATAGAAACAAAATTTTTTCCTTCAATTCAAAATATTGTCGATCCAAACCTCAAAAACTCATGCTGTTTCGGTTCATTTACTGTACGTTTTGTGAGGTTAGAAAGAAATATGGAATCCACTAAAGGGTACCGACTTTATTGGATTCATCGGGCCAAAACTGTTAAGAGTTGACTAGTTCGTTTTTTTTTGTATATACGTATTTATATCAAAGAGAAACAAGCAAGTTTTAAGAAAAAAAAAAAATAATGATCCAATTTCCGGATCTAAACCAAATTACTATGGGACCATCTCTGAGGTACTACTTTCCTCTAAAAAATAATTATAGAAATCTGTTGACATGGTCCAAAGTTATGCGATAACGTACTTAAAAAATATATATATATATTACGACGAATTGATAACCTCTTTCTTTTCTTGAAGTCGTTTAAAAAGAGCTAACCTTTGAATTTTGTTGTCCCGTAATATTTTGAATAGAACTGCTCTTACCTTTCGTCTCCGTACAATTTTCGCGGCACAGCACTGATTTCCGCAACCGCCCACACATTTCGCATATTTGAGTGGCTGACGCGATCGACAATCGTTTTCGGTATAATATTCGCGTACCTGTTCCTTTCGACAAGTGGAGGTTACTGAAAATTTAAAAAATAGAGATGAGTAAATTAAAAAAAGGCAAAAAGGTTTTTTTTTTTTTGTTTTTTTTTAAGAAAGAAAGGAAGGGTTTTAAGAAATAGAAATAGTCTTAATACAAATATTTAAATATATAAAATACCTATAAATATATAAAATACAGTGTAGGGACGCTAAAATGATACAAAAAAAACGCCGAGACACGTAAACTTAATTTTGGATCGTAGATAACGGATCTGTACATCGTTTTTCTAGATTATGTAATTTTTCAAAGATATTTACATTTAAAGTTTGCATTGATTGAAAAAAATCCAACTTTAGCCTGGAAAATGTTACTCATGCCCTATGTACGAATATGTATGAGTACGGCTAGGTACGACGTGGCGTATGGGTAACATTATTTCCTGCTCATATTTCAACAACAAATTATTGCACATTTTCGTTTGACCATTCAAAACTTGAACAAGAAAGAAAGAACAAGCTTTACTACAAATGGAAAAAATACAAATTTTTTTTCCTTGGTGAAGTTTGACTTTTTTTCATACAAATGAAAAATCTTATGCTGGATTTCCACTAGGCATTAAATGGCAAAAATTACGAAGTTGGGCATTCAAAAATAATCGTGTCATTACGTTAAAAAATTGTCATTAAGTTCATTTCCACATGGAATTTTTTTAAACGGCATACATATTTCTGCCATTTCAATGCGCAGTGGAAATTTGGCATTAGAAAATGACCTGATCTGGGTAAATGGCATACAGATTTATAATCTACGACCCAATATTAAGTTTTCGTCTTTCGGCGCTTTTTGTTTCAAATTAGAGATTGAAATAAAATATTTTACATAAATATGAACAATCAAGCTAAAGTTGCAAGTTCTCCAGATATGTAAGAGATGCAGTTATTTATTACAGAATTCAATATTAAAAAAAAAAATAAAAATCAACATGCAATACCAAGTGTTTTAATAAAATGATTTTAATGAATGTGGTTTTGCATAGTATGTGTATGTTAATACTTATGCGCATGAAAACCACTAAACGTTGTATGAATGAAGAATATGATTAATACCAGTTATTGATGCGGGCTCAGTTGTGCCCTCACCTTGTTCGCAGTAGCGGCCCTTCTGACCCTGCTTGCACTTGCATTGATAGCCGTCGCGGTATGTGGAATTAGGCACACAGCGGCTGCCGCGGCGACACTTGTGATTTTCGCAAGGATCCACCTGGGTGTATACAAATGTAAAATGTTAGGTATGCATTTCTAATTTTAAATTCAATTCCCGATTTTTCTACGTACCTCTTTGATGTGCGGTGTTTCGTCCATAAAGTCCTGTTCGTCATCCTCCGCCGCTTCACCTTCAAGCAATGCACAGCCGGGTGTAATCTTTTGCTGCCTTGCTGCATTTTCAAAGTCAACCAGCTTGCGATTTATCCACACCTCCTTCATGCAGCCCTTAAAGCTGGTCAAATTTCGAATTTGCCAATTCTTATACGCCTGCTGTCCCGGTTCTGGTGGCAAGCCGCCCAAAAACATTGGTGTAGTCAATTTGAGAAAATCATTGGAGCCTTCATTTATAATCGATCTTGCCAGTCCGCGATCGACGCGCAATGTGAAATTTTTCTTAATAGCCAACAACTCCACGCAATGATATTTACCATCGGCCACCATTTCGAAGCTATACATTGTGGAGACTGGATAATTGCCCACATCATAGCTTACGCGTATGCGTCCATTGAACAATTCAACAGCTATGTGCGCATCCTGTCCATCATACATCAGTATGCCATTTTGCTCTGAACTGCTAAAGACGATCGTTACATTCGCATCTGGCTTGGTGCGCAAAGGCTCCATTTCCACAAAGGAATTGTTATGCACAAAGCTAATGCTCGTCAAGTATTCGCACCACTTGCCGGTGTAACCAGGATGACATTTGCACAAGTAATCGGAGCCCGAGGGGTTCGGCTGGAAGCAAACGCCATGTTTGCATTCGTGATTCTGGCAAGGTGATGTCTGCGGATACATCATCGAGACCATATTGTGACCCTCACAGTATTTGCCCGTGAAATCATCCGGACACTTGCACACATAATCGTTGATGCCATCTATGCAGGTGCCGCCATTTTGGCAAATATGATTCTGGCAATCGTCGATGTTTTGTGTGCAATTGATGCCATGGAAACCGGCCATGCACTCGCAGGTGTAGTGCGTAAAGTGGTCGTGACACTTGGCGCCATTCGCGCATGGATTGAATTCGTCACTGCAAAAATTGATCTTTGTGTCGCAGTATTGGCCTGTTGGGAGAGAAAAAGAAAAAATGTACGTACTTATATCTAAGTAGTGAGCTACCACCTTCAAGCCATACATACCAGTAAAACCCGGTTGACATTCACACGTATACGATTCCACACCATCCACACAGGTTGCATTATTCTGACACTTGGTCTCACCCAGGCAATCGTCAATGTTCGTTTCACAACGCGCACCAGTATAGCCAGGCGCACATTGACAGCTGAAACGTCCCTCTTCCAGCACAGTGCAGGTGGCATTGTTGCGGCATGGATTGCCATAGCAGGCGTCGATCATGAATTCACAATGTTTACCGTGATAGCCCGGCTGGCAGAGGCATTGGTAGTCGCGCTGTGGCAGTGGTATGCATTGTGCCTTGTTCTCGCATGGATGCGTATAGCAGGCGTCACATTTGGCCATTATCTCATTGCTAACTTTGCCTTTGCACATAAAATTGTGTGAGGGCGTCGAGAGTATCAGTTTGTCCTTCATGTAATCGGGTTCGGCGCAACGTGCTATACCCGGCTCCACATAGTCCAATTTGATCCAGTCTGAGAACCATTTGAGCGAGCAATCGCAGTAGAGTGGATTGCTGCCAAGCGCACTGTAGACATGGAAAGGAAGTGGTTTGTGGTATATGAATTTTCGGTAATTACAAAGTTCACTTACATGTGTGTTAGCGATTTCATGTCTTCGAATGAACCTTCCGGCAGCATTGATATACGATTACCATGCAACGAGAGTACACGCAAATTTTGCAGACCGGCTAAGGCGTAGCGTTGCAGACATTGCAAGTTGTTATACGAAATGATGCTGAAATTAAGAAAACCATTGAAGTCAGATATCACACTCGCAAAAGTAGAAAATTTTGGATAAAATGCTAGGTGTCTATCGGTGCTCTCTGATCTAAAAAGAAGCCAAACTCAGTCTTATGAAGTATTCTTTACGTGGCATTTCCATTGATCGATCTTGTAACGTAAATGCGAATATATGTTTCTGAGAAGGTCGAAATAGAATAAAGGGTCCTTCTATGAGAGAAACGACTTGGAAATTACTTCAAGTATCTCAGCTAATAGAGAATAGTCATCAATAGTCATAGATCCTTAGCGGGGCCTTAGTTACTTGCGACCTCTTAAAGTTGCACTCATAACAAAGTTCTTCGGCTATACTGAAAGTTCAAATGAGATTGGAAGATTAAAAAAGACTTGTCAAGAAAGTGAATGACTCTTCAGGCCTAAAAAGTGAACCTTCATGGGAGACCCTACTTAGCGCAGTATTTTTTTTTTGCATTCCAAACTTCAATCGCGATTTATCAAAACCTGCCGGAAGTAACATACGATAATCTTTTATCCAGGCAACGATTTGGTATGCATTATTAATGGAGCTTATGACAAAGGTTTTTTGGTCTCGACCCTAATACGATTTTATAACCGTATAAGAAGAAGAAATGTACGGCGCAATAAAAATTAATTGTTAAAAGGACAAAAGCGCCTTATGTTGCGCCCGACTAGATGTACATTCATTTAAATCCCTGCATTGTGCAAAGGCTTCACTATCGCTGCTAGAAAAAAATTAAATGTTATTTATTGCTTCTACTTACAGCGTCGACAGATTCGTCAGGTTGGCGAAGGTGTAATTAGAGAGGAACGTGATTTGATTGTTGCTCAAATCTCTGTAACGAAAAAAAGAAAGCAAAAAAAAAAAAAATATGAAGAAAAAATGGCCGAAACAAAAAGCACGAATTAGTAACATAAGTTTTCAAAAGCGAGATGCGCTTTTTGTTTTTACTGCACATTCAATCTTCTTCGCCTTTTTCTGCCCCATTCACCCACTCATACATACATACTCATCATCCTTCAACTTTGCTGCACTTACAATCTCGTCAAGGATTTCAAATGTCGTATCCGATCTAAATGTATCATTGTTATTTCATTCGATTCCAGATATAACTCGGATGTTTCCGCCGGTATGCCACGTGGTATCTCTTTTAATTGATTGCGCGAACAACGTACTACGGTGCCGGTGCAAGTGCAGGCGGGCGGACAATAGCCATCGCCCAAACAGCCTTCATTGTTGTCGGATGTGCATTTGAACTCGTTATGTGGCAGATCCTTAATTTGCATATCACGTACTTTTGAGGGGGCAGCACAACGTGCCGCACCGCCGATCAGACCCTTCTTTCGTAGCCACTCGGAAAACCAGGCCAAATGACAGTTGCAATTGAATGGATTGGCAGCCAAGTTTCTATGGAAAAAATAGGAAAGTGGAAAATAGTGTAAAGTGTGAATTGAAATGTTGGCATTTATAGGTATGAATGTATGTATGTGTTATGAGTGCATTTCTATGCGCATGTATGTATGTATGTGATAAGTTTGCATAGAGATGTGGAAATGCAAATAAGTAGGGGGAAAAAAACTGTGGAAAAAAGTCAAGTGGTGGAAATGAATTGTCGTAGTGGTTTTTAGAGTGCAATATTGGTAAAGTCTGATAGGTACATTACGGTGGTCCTTAAATGTGGGAAGAAAATTTGTACAACAGATTTCCTGAGCCTCGACCTCTATGTCGATGCTGCTATAGTCGAAGATATCACATATAAATTTTGGTCCCTATTGAAGTTAGTTAAGACGTGTCGTACCGGGGACAAAGGTCAGATTACTCTATGAAGAAGTCATAACCGACTCCAATCGGGACCAAAATATATATTTGATATCTTCGACTTTAGTAGTATCGATTTTGGGTATTAGATGAAAAAAAATATTGAGGTTGTTCACACTTGCCTGGTTATCTGGTTAAACATTTTTTTTTGTGTAGTGTATTTTATTGTTGTAAACTGATAACCGGGCAAGCGTGAACGACCTAATTTTAAATTTTTTGAGTCCATAGAAGCATCTGGCCTTTGACTCTTGGCGACACGCCTTAACCGACTCCAATCGTAACCAAAATTTCAATGTGATATCTTCGACTATGGTTTCGACTATCCATTTTGGGTATTATATGAAAAAAAAAATTAATTTTAATTTTTTTAGTGTCTTTAGAGGAATATGTACTTTGCCCCCTGTGCTCAATCGGGGCCAAAATTTATATGTGATATCTGTGACGCAGTGTTACCGATTAAGGGGTGAGACTGTAAAAATCGATCATTTGATTTTAAGGACCACCCTAAGGTACATATGTACATATGCACGTACATATGTATGTATTTACTAACGTACATATGTGGTTTAAGTCGTGTTGGGATGTTCTATTGTATTTTACGGTTTTGGTACTAAAGCATGTAGCTAGCTTTTATTGCTCCTGTGGCTACAGTGTTACACAGAAGTATATACGCATCAAAGTAAATTTAAGAGCATAAATAGGGCTGGTAGTTTGAATATTTGAATAAAAATCAGAATATTCGGATAACAAAATGGAACGGATACTGGATATCCGGATAAAAAATTAAGAGATATGAACTGAATATCCGGATAAAGAAATGACGTAATATTAATCGGATATCCGGATATTCGGATTTTAGTATCAAAAAAAAAAAACTTTTTAACACAAATTTTTTGCATTTACATTTTACATATAACTGTTAGCCTGGTGAGAACTCGGTGAACTCTTCAGCTACATATTTCCTACCAAAAGTGATTCAAGCCTAGCCAAACAAAATTAAAAAAAACAAAGTAGGGCTTGAATAATAACAGAGTTTGGCTGTAGAGAAAGTCTCAGGCTTTGAAATGAGACAAAAAAACGCCGAAACACTTGAACTTAAATTTGGGTTGTAGACTATGGATCTGTATACCGTTTTTTCAGAACAGGTGATTTGCCCAAGATATTTTCATTCTTATAAAAAAATCAAACTTTAACAAGGTAAAAATTAAAAAATACCAAATTTTTTTCATTTATATTAAAGGCATTTTAGCGTCCCTATAGTGTAATTTAATTATTCGGAATCAGCCGCTGATCACCTCGGGTAGGTATTTTTTGAGCTTTCTGTACATTTGTTTATTGACGCGTGCAGAGAAAAAGCTCTGCCTATCGCTGATATAAAACATATAAAAAGCTCTAATAAGCTTCTCCCGCAAGTGATTCCAAATGAAAAGACAGAAACTAATCTGCTTAAAAAATATGTTGATTGGATAAGATAAGACAAGACTTTAAGAAATTTAAGATCCCAACAATTGTAGAATCTGTCGCAATTTAAATCAATTTGCGCCTCCGAATATGCTACACTTAGTAAAACACGGCAATAGTATTGCACAGGTTTCCTTCACTGACAATTGTGAAACTGTGAGCTGTGTCTGCACTACCCTCCACACTACTTAGTATTTTAGACAAATTCATTGCTTACTAACGTTTTTACTTATACATACATACCTGTATGAGTGAAATGAAAGTCTGAGTATGGACCAAGGTACATTGAACAGGTAGTATCAGTAGAGCAGCTGATTTGATTTATTTTCAAATTATTTGGTCTCGAAAATGTCAAATATTTTTAATTTTTTCTCACAAAAATTCTGAATTGTTAAAATCCATTTGCATGTGAAACCTTTTTCCATACAAAACAAGCGATTGAATAGCAGCTTTTGGAACGTTCGCCCAACTCGGCAGCACGACCGCTGATTACTGGGCCTTGCAAAGGATGGATCAATGCTTCGAGAAGCAAACAAATTTACTAGGAAAGAAAGTTGCATCAATTTTTATTTTTTCCAATTTCAATTTTTTATTTTTTATAATTTTTTGTATTTCACATGGCACGCTTTGATTTAGAAGAAAAAATTCAGAACAGTTTTTGACACTTTCGATACCAGAAGCAACAACAAAATACACGCAAATGTTGTTTTTGCTCTACTGATACTACCTGTTTAATGTGCCTTGGTATGGACTCCTATATTCAATCATCTACCAACATTCGAAGGCAACTTTTATAGAGGTTTACACGGTTGTTTACATATATGTAAAGTCGTAGAAATTTAAATACTCGTATGCACATAGAAGTACATGTATTGTAGTTAGTTGTGCACTGAGGAAGAGCAGAGTGTTTGAAGGTATTGTATGCGATGAGTAGCTGTTTCATTGTGCAAATCAAATTAGGGTGATTCTGTGCGTCAAGTGCTTCCATACATACTAATATATACACCAACATACATACATACATAGTATGTAGGCACTAAGGAACACTTGTATGTATGTATATACTAAAGTACTAAACATTTTTACGTAATAGGAAAAATTCACTCGCATGCTTTGTAGATTTACTTCAAGCTACCCAATCAGCCAGATGAATATATCATACGATCTGCGCTGAGGACTATGCTGTATGCCCTCCACTATGCGAACAATGTATGGGGATTTTTTCCCTGCAGGTGATCAGCGAGTCTCCTATTCCCCAGAGCCCTTCTGATGAGCCTATAGATGACCGGTGCTTGGGCAAAGGGCTTCAATGGGACACACTGCATAAAGCCACCTAACAAAACCGACGTTCCTCTTCGGGAATTCTCTTTGTCAAGCCACCTTGCAGATAACGGAGAACTCGGTCCTGAAGTCCTCCTTTATGAATGTGGAAGAGATCCATTATTCCGAATTTCGACATCAAATTGTACATAAAATCGCAGGTTTCCTAAGTGCCTACAAACGGGGCAGGAAGCTGCAGTAATGACACCGAGGAAAATCAAGACGTGCGGAGCCTGGACGCCAAGCTTCGCCGAGGTAGCAAACGATCGGCAGATCGTAGGAAAAATACAAAGATTAAAATGAGAAAAAAAAGTCAAAAATTGCAAGAGCCAATGGATCCAAGATGCATTGGCAAAAGTAACGCCACAGGTGAATCGGGATAACCCAGTTTCGCAGTGGAGCTATGTAGTAATTGAAAGCCGAGGTATCCTATCATGGCGCTGAGCGAGAGCTTGAACATAAGCTCCACCATCGCAATCAATAGAAAATTTTGGAAATGCTAAAAGCATTCAATCCAAGCATATCCACACATACAACTGAGAAAAGTGGTAAATATGAAGTAAACGGAGCGCTCTGCGATGAGGACGTTTGTGTGACCATCACAAAAGCCATTAATGCATAGAGCGATGAAGATCACAGATAAACATGCATTCCATTGAAGTAGCATTCTACATACATACTCGACGACGATGATGTCAACTGAAGTGTGAAATATGAAAAAGGAGTATGAAGAGAGAAAGATTCTACAGAAGATATTCAGCAAATCAAAATACAGCGGATTCTAGGCCATCTTGTACGAATGGAGGCAAATGCTTCAGCCCTGACGGTATTCGATGCGGTACCCGCTGGTGGTAGTAGAGGAAGAGGAAGGTCTTCTCTGTGTTGGAAGAATCAGGCATTTCACGGCGTTTCTAATAGGCGCCAGCAAGCGAAAAGAAGGAGTGGCTGCTAAGTTGAACTCGGCAGAAATCGCTTAAGCGATTATAGCGGCAATCAAAAATAAAGAAAAGACGAGCCCACAATATAGCGAACAACAGTCTCGAAAGACAAGTGACCCAGATCTATATGGGGCTGTAGACTATCACCCCAGCTGAGTCCCTGAAATTTTTTGGGGAATTTTCATGCTGTTACAACAACAATGAAATACTTTTAAAAACGACTCGCCTATAAGTCTCTTGAAGACTCTCAGCAAGATGCTTAGAATTAACAATTCTTCCGCGATCAAAAAAGATTTTGGTCGTCGTTTCCGATTGAAATTTCCGGGTAGCGGAGGATTCATTTACAATTGAAAATGTTTGCTGGGTATGCAGTATGTACGTATATGCATGGGCATTAGGGTGGCCCAACAAGAAATAGTATAGAAAATGAAAAATCGGAGTTTGGAAGTCAGTTAATATTTAACCGTGTCGCCGGCGCTTTAAAGTGATCCATATATTTTATATGGGGGGAAAAATTCGTTGCATTGTTACAAACTAAAAATGACGGATTTCCGTATTCTGGATATTTTCCAGTTCTGGGGGGGTGGCTGGAAAAAAATGAACCACCCTAATGCACATAAATATGTATCTATCATTCACTTGTACCTACTGCGCGTCGCCTGAGCTTGGCACTTAAATCATCGAATCGACAAAAGCAACACAAAGGGAAGTGTAGCAGCAGCAGCAGCAGCAGCATCAACATATTGCAAGTCGATCACAGCAATAGGAGCTGTAACATCAGCCCTTGGGGGTGGTATGAGAAGTCTGGACATGGCAATAATGTACACAAGGTGGTAACATCAGTACCAGGCTATTTGTCGTTATCGCAGTAGGCACGATGGTGCTGCATATCAGAGTGCTCATATGACCATAGAGAATATGGAACATGCACTCATACATACATACACATATGTGCATCCACCTCTCCTCTGTCTGTCTGTCTGTCTGTCTATTGTGGCGACCATAAATTGGAGTTCAATTAAATTACTTGTACTTTTACGCTTCCAACGCACTCTACTAGCGCGGTATTTTCATTTTCAGTTTGAGTAAACAGTACAACTGAATTATGTACATACACACATACATACATGTATTCTAAATAGGAGCATGTGCATTTTTTCTGCGTTTGCACCCGGTAGCGTTACTTGAGTATATGTATGTATGTACATATAAAAGCGGTGTGTGCGCGAGCGTGCGTATGCTGTGAAGTTCAGCCATAACAATCAAACCCATTAACCCCATTTCTTTGATAAAAACTTCTCCGTACGCAATTTACTCAATTTATACAATGAAGAAGCAATTAATTACGCATTTGGTACGATAAATATGAATGTGTCTATAAACTACATACATATGTACATACATACCTACATACTAAGTTATACTTATAGATTTTTTTTTTGAAATCTCACTGCGTTCTACTCAATAAATAAATGCCTACAAACATATTTACTAGATACAAAGTGATCTATAGAAATGTCTGTATGTTTGCAACAACTCTTCTACAAAATGCACTAAATATGCCAGTGCCTGTTGAATTTTAGCTGCACTTGCCGCAAAAAGTTTTTGTATGTACTTTCGTATGCATACATATGTGTGTATGCTTTCGCTGATGTGCAGGATGTATGGACCATAACATAATTTTGAGGCAAACAGAATTTTCAGTAATTTATCTAATTTCTGTGTGTATATACACATATGTACTTACAGCGAGGTGAGCGATGACAGGAATTCAAATGAACCAGGCATCACACAAGAAATTTGATTGTTATAAAGATTCCTGAAAAGATTAATGAAACGTCCAATGGAGAAAACAAATGAATTGAAATTGTATTACAATTGATTTAAAGTGGCAGAGTGATTATTAAGTTTAATTATACATATGTACATATGTATGTACATTAGATTGCACCACTCCCCATACAAAAATAAAAAATAAAAATAAAAATCAGTACTTTGTTTCCATTGGAATTATAAAATCTATTATATTTTAAGACGTCCACCAAAATATTTCGGAAAAATATTAAGATTTACGTGAGCTGAACCGATTTGAAAATACCTCCAAAAATGGAGCTTTTTATGAATAAAAATAGTTTCTTAAAGATTTTTTTGAAAAAAATCCCCTCAAATGACAACGGTTTAAGCTTACAAAATTTGCATAATAATTTTTGACGCTGTTTTTTTTTAACTTTTTTTCAAAGATCGGTATAAGAAAAACTTGAATAACTGAACCTAAACTATTCCGATTTAGACTTGTGAGGTATCATTGGACAGGAATTTTCTCACTTCTTTACTTGTTTGCTAATAAAGTCATTAAAAGGATGAAAGAGAAAGGTAGGAGAACGAGCGTCTTTCCGAGTTGAATTAAGATGTGTTGATATTTGAAAAAAAAAATTGGGACATAAATGACTTTTTTTGCACAGAAATAAAAATAGTGGGAAAATACCTTTCTACTGAGACCCCTTAAGTCTAAATCAGAATAGTTTTGGCCCAGTTATTCAAGTTTTATAATAAGTAATATTTTTCCCAAATATTTTGGTGGACGTGGTGGACAAAATAATAATAATCCCGATGGAAAAACTTTTTTTTGGTGATGCAGTCTAATGTACATATATACAGTGCCAGCCATTTGAATGGCGAAGCCTTATGATTGACAGATTTCCTTTTGTTTATTTAATATTCATAATTTTCTATAAAACCATAGCATATTCTATAACAAAACCCACGAAAATTCGTTTTTCAAACTTTATACAAAATTTATAATAGATAATTCAAAATGTTTGCAAACTTAATTTTTTTTTTTTTTTTAGTATTCAGTTTTGTATCCCATGCATGTTTCAAGTTCCTAAAAACCGCGTTTATTTTTGAATTTTTTTTTATGAGACAACTTCATGACGAATAAGTATGTACCAAAAATACCTACTATCTGCCATTTCATGCACATATGTAGTATATTACTTATGTGATTCGTCGTAATATTTAAAAAATTACTTAAATTAATTATCATAACCTCCCCCGCTTCTAGTACTTACAGTGTTTTCAGTTGATGTAAACCCAAAAACATTTTATTCGAAATCTCTCGAATTTTATTTTCAGCCATAACCAATTCTTGTATACGATTTGCACCCTCAAAGGCATTCGGTTCAATGCCGGTTATATGATTGCGTCGCAAATCGAGTTTAACCAGATGTGGCAGACGACCAAAGAGACCATCGGATTTGATGCGCCCCAGCTCATTGTCGCTTAAGAGTCTGCAAGCGTGAAAGAAAGAGTGAAAGCATAAATGAAATGAGTAAAACGGAAAAAATGCCAACATTTTAGGTCAATTAAATCAATGCAATTGCATATTTGGTAGTAAATAATCAAAAGAAAAATGAAAGCACAATTTTGTGTACATGCATACGTACGAGTATGTATATGAATATCAATGCATGCATACTTACAGTTCAGTGGTATGTAGCGGTATATCGCGTGGAATTTCTTTAAGGCCACGACCTGAGCAATCAATTGAAGTACCATCGCACTGACACATTGCCGGGCAATCGACATCTGCGCGACATTCGCTCGACAATTTAATACGCATATCGTCCCATGAGCCTGAAATGGAGTGAAAGGCAAAAAGAGTGTGGAGCGGTAAATTAATAAGTAAAATTCAAAGATGTAATATGTATATGAATGAAAAAAGTAGCACGCGTACTATTTATGCAATGCTTCGCAAATGGTATACAATTGAAATATATTTCATGCCAAGAAGCACGCTTTTAGGCGCAAAAGATCAGTTTAAAAACTATAGTTATTAATATTGCTCATTTACATCTCGCTCATTTAGCAGGGGGCTACCTATACTCAAAACCAAGTACTTTTTAGATGCGTTTAAGTTTTAAATTTCAAATATGTTTTAAACAATTTTCATTGAGCTTGAGGCCGTTTCTTATAAAAAGTAATTGAGGAAAAAACAGTAGCATCTTAATGTATGATATACCAATTATCCTGCTTCGAGGAGAAATTTTTTTGTTCTTAAGATAATTGACCTGAAGTACCCTATTCTAGCACTTATCCACCAGATCTAAGTTCCTGCCACCGTAATATACCACCCTAATATCAGTAAACTAAAGCTCTCGAAAAATCCTTAATATTTTGCTAAGTAAAAATGTAAAAAAGCGACCCCTAAGTTTGGCAAAAAAAAAAAATATTTTCTCGAAATTCCCTTGCACAAAACTTTAGATTCAGGAGTAAACGGGAAACTTTTTTTGTTTTATTGTAAGGTGGTAGGGTCTAATGCATATAGATATACATATTATATTCTCACGAGAAACTACGCAAGTTTGATTTTTTTTACTTTCATTTGAATTAATTTTTCAATTTTTGTCTTCTTTATTTAATTTAATTTAAATTCAATAATTTTTTGTTTAGTTTTTTCATATCATAAATTTTTTTAACTTAATTTTTAATTTAATTTAGTTTTATTTAATTTTAATTTTCTTATTTTAAATGTTTTATTTTTTTATTTTTATTTAATTTTTTGTTTTTATTTTTTTATTTCAATTCATCTTTTTTGTAACTTTTTTAAATATTTATTACATTTTATTTATTTATTTGATTCCATTCAATTTTTTAATATAACTATAATTTTTTATTTATTTTTTATCTTGCATTGTTTAATTTGTTTTACTATTTTATTAAAATTTTTATGTGTTGTTCTGTTTTATTTAATTCTTTAACATAGTTAATTGTTAATTTTTCAGTTAATTAAAATGAAAGGGTACTATTTAATTGTTTATTATTTAATTTAGCGTAATTTTTTATTATATCATATTTCACTTGAACAATTTTTTTATTTTATGTTGGTTTGTTTAGTTTAATTTAATTGCATGCGATTCTCTTTTACTCATATTTCTTCTGCTTTACTTATATTTTTTCTTTATTTCTTTTAGTTTTTTATTTTATTTAATTTGAATATCGCTCATCTACTAATTAAATTTTTTTACTTAATTTAATGTTATATTTTTTTAATTTAATTTTATTTAAAAATATTTATTTTTTGCTTGATTTTATTTTATTCAATGTATGTCCTTGTAGTGTTATAGTCAATTAAATTTTTTAACTTTTATTTTATGTTATTTCTTTTCAATCCAGTTTTTTAAATTTTATTTTATTCCAATTAATTTATTTTAATATGTTTTGTTTTTAGTTTATCGTAATTCGTTATTTAAATATTTTTACTTTTTCTATTTTATTATACTTTCTTTTATCTTGTTTCAATTATTTTGGATAATTTTTGTTTTTAGAATTTTTCAACATTTTTAGTGTATCTATTTATAAAAATAAAATTTTATTCTATAAGAGAATATAAAACTAATAAGGTTAAGGAACATAAAAATTGTAAAGTCTAGGAAAAATATTTTCTTATAACATTAAAAAAATAAGAATGTTATAACTTCAAAAATGTAATTTTTTCAATTTAATAGACAAAGTATTATTGTCGTCTGCTAGCTTGTAAAATAACTCAATTAGTATTGTTAAAATAAAAAAATATATATATATAAATTTAAATTTCATGAAAAATATTGGGGTATATTTATTGTTGGTTGCAGCTTTTTTGACAGAAAAATATGTCCAAAAGCTGCAACTCACTACGTATGAATACGGCCCATTATTAGTATCTCTTTGAAAACTACATATCTATGTTCTTTTGTGAATAAAAAAAAAAATAATCTTCTTGTGCCTTCTCTGAAGAATATGTAAGCTTTTAATTTCTTCTTTCCTCTTGCAGTGTTAGTTGTTTTTTAGACTTTTTTATAGTAAATACCAACTCTTTGCGTGTGTCCATCACCGAGGACACCATTCCACATTGTTTGCATAAAGGAAGGTAGATATGCAGATCTTGAATTTTTGCTACTCATCTTAATTTTTTTGTTTTTATTTTTTTGCCTTTGAAAGATACTTACATTTGAATTTCTCCTCACGCAACGACTCAATGCGCCGTCGATGCATTCGCTTTGGGGCTTCGCAGCGTGCGCCACTTGTCTCGATGGGGTTTTTGTGCAAGTAATCAGCCAACCAGCGAAGATTGCAGTCACAAATGAAGGGATTCTTTGCCAGATGCCTTTGGTTTTGTAAGAAATGTATATATACAAAAATACGTACATATTTGTATTAAGAAAAAAGCAAATACTTAAAATGTGAGCAAGTAGAAGTTCTTACGAGTAGTAGTTAACAAAAAGATTTCATTTTCAAAAGGAATTACAAGTGTTCGTAGGTGTCATATATGTCAGAATAAAAAAAAAAAAAATTACATTCCTACACGCTTGCGATTGTACAAATTTATGTATGTATGTATGTATGTATACATAGATAAATAATTCTGAGTACGTCGTATAAGCATAAGTAGTGAAAGGCTAATGCAAGTACTAAGTGGAAGCACTAAACCAAAAGGCAGCCACAGCCACTCAATGAGTTAACCTTCGCTTGTGCTATCATAGCAGTGAATGCTAGAAAAGAATCATCACTTTTAGCATTACATGAAATTGAAATAATTTGTTACATAAGAGTGCAAATAATATTTTTGATATTTTTTTTGAGTTTCAGTAATAAAACCCTATTTTAATTACAATATAGTAGTTAGTGCAAAAATTTGTGTGGATTTTGGCTGTTCTGTCAAGGAAACGAAACAAAGTGGCCGAAAATCTCACCCATTTACTGCTGTCCATATTAAATAGTCTACACAGTAGGTATTTAATCACGGAAAAATATGAAGTAATACTTATTTGCGAAGTTGATAGGGACCCCTCTCAACTCAACCGCGAGCGTTCAGTCAAGAGCTTTGTATACCAGCGTCCGATCTGCCAAGTCTGTATCAGGATCCCTTGCGATCACCTGTCAGCAAGTCCTAGAGACCTAAGTGTGTATCCCCTCTAGAAGCGATTTGGAGTATAACCTAATATTTAACCTGTATCCTCATTTTGCGGCCAATTAAACCCGAATGCTTATTATTAGACCTCAAGATGAGAACTGAGCTATACTCGCAAGAGTTCTTACTCAACCACCGTTTTACATTGCCTGATATCTGCAAGGTTTTCAAGCTGAACTAACAGCAATAAAGGAAGCTGTTAGGCTGACAGACAGGCTGCTATTAAAGCACTGAAACGCGATGCACATAAACATACATACTTTGAATGAACAGGCAAGGATGGCCGTCATACATCTAATATTGGGGGCATAGCTGTATTAGGCAAATGTATGGCAGGTGAACTAGCGAGGAAGCGAACTTGCTTGCTTGTTTGCGATTAGTGCCGCCCTGAATTCCCGTATTCCGCTTTCACTTTGCGGATTTTACCTGGAGAATAACTTTATCCAACAGACTAATAGGCGATGATCTCAATGACGTGTAGGATAACACAGAATACTTCGGGCCACTATTCGAACTGCTGAGATCACTGCTTCGACATTTAATCGGCGTTGTTACAGGTCACTTCTTAATGGGGACGCTTACGAAGAGAATAACTTCCGTCGTAGGCGAGTGTCCACCGGCATTCTTTATATTCACTACTTTCCAGAGTGTTTGGCTCAACTACGAATAGCTAGCATCTACATACATATGATGTGGGAACTTGATCAGAACGAAGTATTAGTTTCACTTCAAGGGAAAGGATAAATATAGCGTGCACCGATTACGGTACGATAACGGGCCTTTGGCGACATCAGTATGCCTTCTTTCAACATTGAAATAGGCCTGCCATGATAACATAACCTAGGATACAGGTTATAGGAGATTCAAAGTAATCGGTATCGTTAAGTGATATGAAATTAGAAATTCCAGCTTAGAATGCTCATAGGCTTTCTTATTGGCTATTGTTGGCAGCTAGACGTTTGCCCAGTATACCTAAGCAAAGTGACCTCCCTTTTGTGAAACTAGCAGTTCAGATTAGCCCGCGATTCATTATCGCTACTTCTAAGGTTCCCAAAGTCACTGAGGCTCATTTAGGCGAAGCCTCGATTTTGTTAAGAGAAGAAGGTTTGCTAAGATGGGCTCTGTGAGATTGGTCTACGTAAGGATACTGCAGTTGAAGCACATGTAACGCAATCTCGTAACATTCAAAACACATTTCACCCACAACCGAGTCTTTGATACTAGTTCTTTTAAGCTACTCCTTCAAGGAAATTAATCATCTAATTAGACCAACCATGAACCACAAATCACGTTTTCTAATGGCAGCAGAAGTCTAGTCCGGCCATTGCGTTAAGCCTCAAGACAAACTACCGGCAGGTCTGTAGACTATGCCAGTAGTCATAGTGTATCTACGACGAAATTTGACTGATTAGGGAATCGTGCTTGGCTAAAATGCATCCGACAGTCGGCTGTGAATCAATGAATCTCTTCATTTCTGTTTGCCTTGGCATCCACGAAGACTTCCGTGGGGAAGACAGTACAATTGGTATTAAGAGGGAACGTGAGTTGAAACCGTCCCGTCTCGAAGAAGATTTCAGCTTCAGAGTTGGTTGGTTGATTGGTAGAAGCGTCGCCTGAGCACATGCCCATGCATCATTGTGATATGCTCTCTTTCTCTGTGATTCTTGATTTTTTTCTGATGAATGATGAATCCATTAAGGCTTGCATGCCTTATTCGTGCCAATGCTGGGCACTCGCAAAGATAGTGTAGGATCGTTTCCTTACCTTTCTCAAGCTTACAGCTACGGCACCGAGAGTTATAAGGAAGGTCTATTTTGGCTGCGTATTCGCCAATGGGCCAATGTCCTGTTATCGTGGCTTTTAACTTAACTATATCTCTCATCAACCCCTTTAGAAGTTCTTCTGACTTTGGTTTGTCATAATACGGCCATATGTTCCTCGCAGCTTTGCAGGTTTGAAAGTTGTTCCAACGTGCATCAGTCATACGTGCGAATTGCAAATACAGTTCCCTTTTGATGAGTCTGAGTGAAACTCGGAAACTCGGCCGCCGAGCTTAATGGACATTTGCAATCTCTGACTGTTTTGCACATTGTTACCGGTGAGGCAAATGCCAGAAGTGACGCCTGGTTATCTGAGGAAATTAAAGCTTTTCATACTCCTTCGCAGTTCCTCTCTGAAGCTTTACAGGCCCTTTCGATTCCCAGTACTTCCGCTTGGAAGATGCTAGCAAAGTTCCCACATCGCAGTCCATTTTGTACCCGTAGCGGAATTCTCCTCGACTATCCTACCCCTACTCCAATGCCGTCTAAAAGAAAACTTCACCTGCTGAAGTCTGTCTGTTTGTTTCCCTATTTCGATAAGCTTATCAAGAGTACCACTATGACCGTGCTACAGCGCCCTCCAGCAGCTTGACTTTCTGATTCTGTTGAGTCAGTTGAGGCAGGATCATATTAAGCTCACAGATGGACAGGATTTAAATGCTCCTGTAGCACCTGCGCAAGCTGCTCTTTGTATACTGCCTAATTTCCTGACGTTGCATTGTTTATCTAGTGCTGGCCACCAAACTAATGCCTCGTAAGTTAGTATTGATCATATGATAGCCGTATATGTACATCCAGAAGACAAGCTTTGGTTTTAATCCCCAGTTCCTATTGAATTTTCTTTTGCATCTGTAACAAGCTGTGTAGGCTCTATCTACGCGCCTCTCTATATTTGTCTTCCAGCTCGGTTTGGCTTCTAATAGGACTCCCAATTATTTCGCCTCGGTGGACAATGTGAGAGTCGTTCCATTAAAAGGGAGGGAAGCTTGCATTGTGGTATTTTTGTTTTCTCGATCAACAGCATCAGTTTAGAGCTTCAGAGCTACAGTTCCTTTAAAGCCTTGGATTGGATCGAACAATTTCTCCTTATCCCCAGAGTTTCCTTCTTGCTAGTGAGAGATGGCAAGCCGAAACCCTTTCGCAATCCTACCTTTTGAATACTACATCGAATGGAACCTTAAAAAAACCTTAATTATTCACTCCTCTAACCTTAAATATTTTCTCCTAACCTCACCTAGCTTAAATACTCTCTATCTACATCTATATAATTTGTTTCATCACTCTTAGCTTTAATGAGATAACCATCTTTTAAGGCCAAGTTTTTTTTATGACACATTGCGTTTTTTTTCGCTCAAATCTAAAACAATTGCTATACACATTTTTCACTGCAAAGTGTGCAACCACCATAAAAGGCGCATTAAAGCATTGTACTAAGAGACATTTTACTTAGCTATTAGCCACATACATACATACATTTTTAAGAACAAAAACCTCTTAGAAATCTAACTGTTGCACTGCACCAGTCAACAGACTATCTCTGCGGGTACAAAGATGCCAGTAAGTAATAAAGAAATAAGCGCACTTCAATGTAAAGTCAGCCAGCAGATAAACTGCTCACTTGGGCGCAAGGCAACAATGCCTAACTGTGCTGTGTTCTGTTGCATTTTTTTTTTTCTATATATACATTTTCTACAGTACTTTCTTCATTTTTTCACACTTTTTGTTTCCTTTTTATTATTGTCTACAGACAACTCTGTTGCGGACATATTGTTGAAATGCCCTAGGTGTCATGTCCTTTGTTCCTGCGAAAGTACGCCGCGTATATGTACTACAATCTTACAAACATATGTATGTATGTATTTACAAGCACACACTCAAACAGCGCGCCTACAGTGCATTTTTATTAATATATGGGTACGCGCTGCTTGCACATTTTGTTGTTTACAGTCAGTGCATGCGTGGTGGAATTGTAATAAAAGGTCGGGGGGGCGGAGGGGAATTGTAATATGCACTTACAGTGTTTGTATGCTCTTCATTGCATCGAAGGTGCCATTAGCCAGCGATTGAATGTTGTTATCGTAGAGCGAAAGCAGGCTGAGACTGTGCAAATCGCGAAAAGCGTCCTTGCGTATGCAAGAGATTTCATTGGCATTCAACAGGAGTAGTTGCAGCGATGTAAGTCCTTTAAATACGCCTGAGGGCAAATCCTTTATTTTATTGCCATAGAGTACGCTGAAAAGAAAAATTAAAAAAAAAAATACAAAAAAATAAATTGAGACAAAAGTGGAGATTGTTTTTTTCTTTGTTTAGAATGTGTTTAATAAAAATAAAATGAAATACATAAAACGATACAATACAAATCGCAGTAGTGGCTGCTACAGCAAATAAATAGATGCAGCAAATCTCATAGGTATTCGTAGCTATCTGCTAGTGGTGTAAAGAAGATTTTAGACAAAAGCTTAAAAAGTGGCAAAACATAAGTTACTTACTTACGTAGTAAGAGATGTATACGAGTACAAGTAAGTAACACGAGAATTCGATTGTGTATGGTTATTAAGGTGTTGGAGGGGATAAAAAGTAGCTTAATACTAGGCAAGTATGTTTAAGACGTTTATACAATGGGTATGGCATTGGCGACGAGTACTTTTATTTGAGGTGTAGTAAATATGTACGTACATACAGTGCTGGCCACTTCAATAACGCCCTATCACCAGTATTGACAGTTCTTCTTAACTTTTAGTCATACATTTTTTGAAAAAATATAGCATTTTCTATGACAAAAACCATGTGAGCCCTATTTTCGAAGTGTATACCAAATTTATGTACAATAATAACACGTTTCCACAAAATTTGGTCGTATTTGGTCTCGAAAACGCGGCCGATCTCATCTTATAGATTCTTTGATGCTGATTTGAAGTGCATTTACAAAATTTCTCTATCACGTCCAGTTTTTGTGAAAAAAAACGGTTGAAATGTCAAAAACTGGCAAAGATGGCATATTTCAAAATTGTTATTAAATAGAATTTCGGAAAACCTCGTATTATTGAAATTCCGATTCTACCTCATGTCGATGAGTTCCTCAACAGCATGCACTTGTTTATGAATTTATTTAAAAAACAAAGTGATTTCATGAACAAATCAACATTAAAAAATCAATATTCCAGATTCATAATTAGCCAGTATTTTGTCTCCAAAAATTCATCGTTTTTCAAGGTCCAGTAATAGTCAGCAAGCATATGGAGGTTTGATTTCCTTCCTATCATGCCACTTCTCCATAGTGGCTATATCCTGGTGGAATCGTTCGCCATGTTCTTTGCTAATATTTTTTTTTTCTAAGTTTTTTTTTTTTTTTAATTCGTCACTCCTTTCTACACAATCCATCGACATAAGGCGAAGTGGAACTACGTTCAAATTATATTTTTTAGATATTTTTTGAAATTTGCCATTTTTGCAGTTTCTTTCTCAACTCTCCAAACTGGACGTGCTAGAAAAATTCTGTAAATGCACTTCAAATCAGCAGAAAAAAATCTAGAAGATGAGGTGATCCCGTTTTTGAGATAAAATACGACCAAATTTTGTTGAACCGTGTAATTCAATTATTATTAGAATTTTTTTAAATATGCAGTTTTAAAGTGCCAATTTCTATTTTGCTAACCCCTACATACAGTCACCCTAAGCGTAGGCTATTTAAGAAATTAAGCACTTTGGCGTGTTCCAATTTTTGGATGGCGAAGATAATCGCTCCCCAAGGTGTATCTTAAAATCCCGGACGGAAGGTGCATCCACTAAACTTGGACTTCACAGTGCTCTTCCGCTGTAGTCTCATCTCTACCAGGATGACCGCTTGAATGGCCTGTAGTTGGTCTAAGGACCAAAGAATTTTAGGGTTGCATTGGCCCTAGGTTCTGTTCGTCCCATATAGGCATTTTTGTCAGCTGGACCTGGTTTCCTTTTGAGGGGTTTTCCACAGAAGATGATGTGCAGTTCACCAAGTGGTTCCTCTTAATCTTACTGGCAGTCAGCAACGCCACTTCGGCCCTTCCTGTTGCCAATCGGAGGAATGGCTAGCGGTTTGGAGTCGCTTTCGCTGACTCCTCTGGCGAGGTAGAGTTTGAAACGATTTTTACCTGCTCTAAAAAGTTTTCTTTTAGGAGTACTATGTAGTCTCCTCTGGCTGCTGAAGGGCGTAAATACTTCCGTTGATTGTAGAGATTTTTTTTGCCGAATATACTATATTTTTATAAAAAATTAATGAATATTAAATGACCAAAGGAATACTGTAAATATTGAGGATCAAAAGAGGGCGCTATTCAAGTGGCCGGCACTGTATGTAGCTCATATGTAGCATATAGCCCGGCCCGCGTTGACGATTTGAAGTGCCAAGTGAGTGAGTGCATTATGCCCGGTAAGTAAGTGTTTTTGCAGTTTGTAGTTCGTTGTCGAAGTTGTAAAGAAAAAATAAAAATAAAAATTAGCCACTGCATGCACAAATACATCCACGCTGTGTGTGCGTGTCCACCGCTCCAATAGCCAGCAGGCAGTCAGTAAGCCGCTTGTGAGTTTCAACAGAAATTTTCTTAGCAAAATATCTTTGAAGTTATCATTGCGCTAACCGGTTTGGGAGCGGAGTCAATGGTGGATTCAGAGTTTGTAGACTACCGCTATGAGCAACAAAAGTGCAGGAAAAAGTTAAAAAAAAAGTACGAGCATGTGCAAAAAAATCGACTAATGAGAATAAGATGTGAGGATAGATTCATTTTGAAATATTTAAGGTGAGTCGAAAAGCTAATAAAATATTAAAATCACTATGTATGCACATATGTACATAGGTGTTATTATCTACATACATACATAGCTGTTAGGGTGATTCTTGAAAATATCAGCATCTAAATTTTGTGTGGGACCCATTTACTGTTCCACGAATATTTCAAAAAAAAGGGGGAGATGCTACCAGGATTAAAAAAAAATTGATTTTTTAGTCGCAAAAATTCGACAACATCAAATAAATTTGAGATATTATTGAAACTTCTTTATGTAAATTGATAAACTAGCTGAGCAATATTTAACTGGTCAGTGCCAAAAATTTTTAAACAATTTGCAACTTAAATTAATTCAATATTTTCAAATTAATTTACAAATTAATTCAATATTTTCAAGCCATTCAAATTTTTTTAATTCATAAATTTTTATGGATATTTCTACATGTTTTGTACGCAGAATATGGGTGATTCTCAAAAGCTCTAAAAAACAGTAAGCTCAAAATTATTTATGTACTACAGAAATTTTGAAAGTTTCGGGTATTTATTGGTTATGGTAATAGTTATGATAAAAGTAAAAGTAATGGTAATGTCATTGCTGAGGTTAATGGTAGAAGTAATAGTAGCGGTAATGGTTGGTTGGTAATGGTAATGACACTCGAAATTATTATCGTAATCGGTAATGGCAGGGCGCGTTCAGAAATGCATCAAACCAAAGCATCAGTCTCTTTTAATTCTAAACTATAATTGATGGAAATGTCAAAATATGTGCCGAATTGGAACTTAGTTGCGTAAATAAGACATTTCCATCAATTATAGTTTAGACTCTGAAAGACTCTGATGCTTTGGCTTGATGCATTTTGGAACGCACCCGCAACGGTGATTGTGATGGTAGTAAATGAGGTTCGTCCAGCGTAGCGTGAGTGCAGCGGAAAATGAGAGCCACTTCTAGACAACTCGTAAAAATCTGCTGACAATCCGTAAAATGAGGAGCAGACGTTAGCCCAGAGCAGCCGAAAATGGGAAGAAATTCGGGAAGCCCACGTGATCCTTCCCAAAAATAGCACTGAGCTCGAAGACGAAACAAAAAGTCAGTGGACAACAACCCTTAGCGCGAACTTAACAAGCAGAAATCTCAAAATCGGTTCGCAACAGCTGAAAGCACCATTCTTAAAGCTTTTTAGGTGTTCAGCAGATTTTAGGTTTCTAACTCGATAAAATTCATTAGAGACAACAACTGATTCAGTAAGAGATTTAAAAGAGTACTTTGGCATTCCAACGGTGATCAAAAAACGATCATGACAAAAATACCATCAAACAGTTTTCGTATCTAGGGCAGAGACGACCAGGTCCTATTATAAGATAAGAAGTGCCTTGACTCACTTGGCTTGTTGGGGCTCAAAAAACACTTCAGATACATATCTAATTATGTACAGTTGTATTACCTGTTTTTTTTACATATGTACATACATTCATACATCCAACCCGAAAGACACAAAAAAGAAACACTTCAAAAGACCTTAAAGCGAAAAAAAACTGTTAATCCCAAAACTCTCAAAATTCCGTACGCAAGTGAATAACTCCGGTGGCAAGAACGAGTAGCAGCTGGCCAACTGCTGCTGGTGGCTAAGCAATCAATTGATGACCATAATAAATAGTATGTGCTGCACTTCACCGCACTTCAATGATTGATGTTTTTGTTTACCATTTCCCTCATTTGGCTAAATATACATAATTAACAAAAAATAACAAATATTTGTATGTATGAATTTGTGTACAAAAAAAAAAGAAGACAAATCAACGAAATTTGGCACAGCAAGACCTAAATAACTATCGATGAAACGTTTTAGAATTTTTAAAAGTTTTCCATGAATACTTACAGTGTGGTGAGCGCTTTTAGGCCAGCCAAAGCGTCGTGGGCAATACGCGAAATGTTATTGTTCGATAGGTCAATGCGACGTAGGCGACGGAAATTCGCAAATGCTTTTGGTGGCAATTCAGTAATGAAATTCTGTTCCAAGCGGCTATAAGAAAAATAAAAAAGAATAAAACAAAAATATATTAAAATAAATAAAACAATGGAAAAGTTTAGCAGAAGCGTAGAGGAAACATAATTATAATAATGATGGCATAAATGACATAAAATAACAACAAAAAATCAAATATTAAATTGCTGTAGGTGCTTAAGCTGCTGGGAGAGCACTTCAACTATTCAGAAATCACTATAGTGAAAGCTCGATATAACGAACCTTGATGAAACGAAACATTCAACATAACCTAATTTTTGTTTAGTCCCCTGAAGAAAACTTCGTTGTTGCGAAATTTTCTACAGAAAAATACTCCATAGATATGTATAACGAAGAAATTTTAACCATAAAAACCAACGAAATATATGGACCGTTAAAGTCCAGATAACAAAACTCTCTTTATAACGTTTTCTGAATATGTTGACGGTTAGTCTCGTAATAAAAAAAAACTATACTATTAAGTTATAACGACTTTTTTAAAGTTTTGTTTTTTTTTTCGTTGTATCGGTGGTCTTTAATATTCTATCGCCCAAATTTGTAAAAAATAAAGAAGACTTTAACTGGTTTATAAATCGAAAATTTGTTTGAAAATGTCACTTTATAGAGCTCTTTAAAGCTATCAATTTAATTTTTTATGAATATAAATAGTATAACTAAACTACAGATATAACGAAGCATTTGTGCAACCCCTTCAACTTTGTTATATCGAGGTTTCACTGTATTTACCAGCAAAAATTTGACAGTTTTTCAAGAATGTTCGCATGCATGTGTTACTATTGAATTATACAGTCAAATATTTGGGTGTGTGTATGTATGTACGAGTACTTACAGCTCGGTTGTATCATCTGGCAGTGACACAGGTACACTTGTGAGACTCTTCTCGCGACAATCAACGATGCCATCAGCACAACGACACGGATGTGGACAGCTATTCTCCATGCCACATTCCATTGGCGCATTTTCGGTGAGACCTTAAGTGGGATGAAAAAAAGTAAAGAAAAAAGTGATAAATTTGAAAAATGGGAAAGAATTTGATTACAAAAGTTTTGTTAAAAAAAATACATTTTAAATATTTATGGCAAAAACACATGTAATTGTTAAATTGAATTTTTAGAATTTAATTTGGATGCGTAAATCTACAAAATTTTCAGCCCGTTGTCACGATGTTACTAAGAATGTTGTTGACTAATATTTCTGGCTCAAGAATTTACGCTCGATCAACTTTTCGAAAAATTTCGCTATTCTTCGTGTTTAATTTTTTCTACCTCTTGCAGAATTTTTACTGGACTTTCCGGGATACTTCGTGTTTTATTTTCCAGTATATTTTACGACTTCCCGGATTTTATCGGAATTGCTAGTTTTCTACTTATCGGGATTTTCGAGTACTTTTTAGGACTTTTCGAAATGTTTTCAGAGTTTCTCGGTATTCTTCGTTTTTAATTTTTGAGAACTTTTATATTTTTACGTGACGGAATACTTCATCTTCTAAGGATATTTTAGAAAATTGTTTGTATTATTCTTTTTCACTTTTCGGAATTTTACGGTGAGTCTTGGGATTTTTCGGTGATTATTCTGGATTTCAGGACTTTCGTGATTTTTTTGGTAGTCTTCGTCTTCTACTCTTCGGGATTTTTCGAATATTTTTGGAAGTTTTTCGGTACTTTCCTGGCTTTTTTGGGCAATCTTCGGGTTTTACTATTCAGTATTTTTCGGATACTCTTGGAACTTTTTCGATAGTTTTCTAAGTTTTTTTGAAAACTTTTATTTTCAGCATATTTTAGGAGTTTTCAAGACTTTTCATGCTTTAGTTTTCGAGATTTTTTCTCGAACTTTTGCGAGATATCTCATGCTTAATTTTTTTTTGGAAATTTCCGGGATTTTTCCGCAAGTTTTTGAAACTTTTGCGAGACTTTTCGAGTTTGTTTAAAATTTTTAAGGATTTTTTCGGATTTCCCGGCATACTTGGTATTTTATTTATAGGGGCTTTTCCGGATTTATTCAGAATTTTATTATTAGATATGTATTTCGTTTTTACTATTTTAAGCTATTTGAATGAAAAAAATATTTGTGAATAAAATTCTTTTCCAAAGCCTCTTTTTGATACAAATATTGCATGCATTATATAATTTTACTTAAAAAATTCTTATTTTTGCTTAGTGGTAACTCTTTTTGAAAATAGTTTCAGATTGAAATGCTCTTAAGCACAGTAAAATTTCCTCTTACACACATTTTTTATAATCGACTGATTTAAAAAGTGGCAACACTATAAAAATATATGTGAAAATTTCCATAATTAAACTCCTTTGATTCAAAATACCTAGTAAAATTTACCTGAACACTTGAATTCCTGATCATGCAGATCCGCCACATTTTGACCCTTTAGCTGAGAAGGCGACTGACAGCGCGTATATGGCGCAAGTCTGGGAGCGCTACGCAAGAAACGCGAAAGCCACGACAAATGACAGTCACAAGAAAAGGGATTATCAGACAGACGTAGAGCACGTAAGCGATTCAGACCACTAAAAGCGTTATGCGGCAGCGAAGTTAAGTTGTTGTTGTTGAGAGTGCTGCAAAGTAAATAGTTAAAATATAAAAATATTTTGTTTCATTATTGATTTTTTTTTTATAAACTGACATTGTTTTGTTCAGAATAGATTTATCTATAGACTTTTCCTAGTCATTTTTAAACGCTGAATAGTCCTAGTAAAAGCTATTTTTAATTTTTAAAAATGATATAGTGTCTGGAAAAGCTCTATATTACCAGTGAAAGCTCTTTCCGACTTGTGAAAGACTATTTTTCAGTCGTAAAAGTGCTTTCTATGTAGGTAAGGGGAATTATAAGAGTTTAGTACTTTTTACGAAAGATATCTCTAGACCACGAAAGCTCTTTCCGACTTGTAAAAGCTCATTCAAAATGATCTTTAAAAGTTAATGTTATTGAGGAAGCTTGATTTTGCCTCTGAGAGCTCCTTCTGACTTGGTAACAGCTCTTTGTAATTGTGTTAACCCTCTGAAAGTAATATTTAGAACTCAAATACATACATATGTATATAGTTATGATTTTCTGACTTGAGCATGCTCTTTTAAACTGAGTGACTAACTTGCGAAAGATTCTGCTCACTTTCGAAAGTTCTTTCTGACTTGCAAATGCCCCTTTCTATGTGAAGAGCCTCTAAAAAAAGTTTAGTAATTCTCATGAAAGCTATTTCGAGACCATGAAAGCTTCTTCCGCATTGTAAAGGTCTTTACAACCGTGAAAAACCTTTAGAAGTTATTTAAAAAAGTGAAGTAGTTCTTGTGAAAACTCGATTTCGCCTGGGAAAGTTCTTTTTGACTTGTAAGTAATATTCAGTATGGTTTCTATAGTAGCATCATCTAATCAATTAAATCTTTTTCTGCCTTGGGAAAGCTCTTTTTTAATTGTGGGAAGCCTTATAAATTTAGTTTTAAAAGTTTAGTAAAAGCTCTAATTTGTGGAAGCTCTTTATGACTTGTAAAAGCTCTTTTTTATGGCGAAGGGTCTCTCAGAGTGATTTTTAAAGGTTTGGTAGTTCTTTTAAAGGCTCTGCCTATTCAGTGAAAGTTTTCTCTCAGTTGAGAAAACTCTTACTAACTTGTGAAAGCTCTTCCTCTGGTGGCCTAAGTTCTAGTTTGCATACAAAAAAATTCAGATAACCACTTTATTTAAAAAAAAATAGTTTTTCATTCCATTTCATTTCATTTTTTACTCACAGAATTTCCAAGTCAATAAGACCCTTAAACGCATGCTCATCCATACAGGTGATCTGATTGTTGTCCAACTGTAGAGAGCGCAAAGATTGCGCGCCCTTGAAGACACGTCGTCCCACTGTTGTAATGATATTGTGCGAGATATCCCTAGTGAGGAGATGAAATATTTAGTAGTGGTAGTACTTTTATGAATTTTTTGTTCAATTATGAGAGTTATTAATTGTTATAGAGAAAGGTAAATCTACGAAATAAAGTCCAACTATAAATCAAACGGTTTCGCGGTTTTTCAAGACAAATCCAATCACTACTGTGTGTATGTTTTTTTCCAAAATGTAGCACAGAATATCTCTACCTACGAATACATAGTAAATAAATTGTATTTATTTATCATAAAAATTATAAACCAAAGATTTGAGTGAGTATTTTTAGATGTAATTTTCAACCTCTAGCAGCGGCATTCCTCGAAAGAAATTAAAGAAAACATTTTTTTTTGTAATAAAAAAGCATGGCATTCGACTACTTACAATCGCAAAAGACTCGCTGAACTTGACACTAGATTTTCAGGTATCGCCTTTAGCAGATTGTTGTTAAGGCGCCTGTATGTATGCAATGGTAGAGTTGTAAACAGATTTGCGTGCAGAAAAATCCAAATTTGAAAGTCCAATCAATCAAAAATGAATAAAAATAAGTAAATAAAAAAGAATGAAATCAAAGAAAAAGTAAGACAAAAAAGGAATAATAAGAAAGAAACAAAAGTATTGATACCAAATAATTGAGTTAAAATGGCTCAACTACAAATATGTAATATATCAGCCAGTTATGTATAAATATTAAATTGCTAGTTATATTAGACTTTTTTGTTGTTGTTGAAAGCAGCACTGACAGCCAAAAAGTGGTAAAAATATATTTTCAAGTTTAGTTTTTTTTTTGAACAATAGATGCAGTTGAAAGTTTTTTTTGAAAGAAAAATTTAAAAAAAAAATGCTTTAAAAAATTGCGACAAAATTTTGCGCAAAAATTGATGCACTTTTTCATAAGCATTCATGTGCAATACGTATGTAAAAATAGCCTGTGGCATGCAAAAGCTTAAGTAACGAAACTAAACTTACAATCGCTCCAGTGACACCAGATCCTGGAATGCGCCCTTTTCAATTGTGTGTATTTGATTATCCGTTAGTTGGCTGCAAGTATGCACAGTTTTTTAAATTGAATTACACATACATACATAGCTACACAACTCATGTAAATATACATTTGTATGTAGTATAGAATATTGATAAAAGAATAAAAGAAAGCCAGCCACCGGCGACGGTTAAGAACAAATTACGAATAATTTATGCTACACAAAGGTCAAACGAGTCAGTGAAAATATGAAAATTTAGTGTCCAAGCGTATTTTCTTCGCGTGGCAGCTAATCAGTACGTATGAATATACATAAATAATCTAACAATAAATTACAGTAACAATACACCAATCAAGTAAAAGTACTAAATTTACAAAAAGAAATAAATTTTCACAAAAACAACATGTCGATTTTTTTAGTCTCTCCAAACTTTCGAAGATTTTTACGCTGCTTTTGACTCCGAAATCATATTAAAGACAAAAACCAAAAAAAAGTAACAAATATTTTGCCTTTTCAAAATTTTAAAATTTACATTAAGCTTCTGTGCCATAAGGCAGATGCCGTTAGCGCTCAATGACCATCGCTGGCAGCGTACCGAAAATTTTTTATGCATCAAATCGATTCATAATATTTTTTTTTGATTATTTCCCAGTGGGAACGTAGTAATGCATTACATGCGTTATAAATAATATAATGTATTTCTTATGAGTTCTAGATTCTATTACAGTTTAATATGTAATCAGCATTCGAAAGTATCCAAAAAGTCGCAAAAATTGTATATTGAATCACATTCATTCTTGCATTACTGGTAATGCAAAATCGAATGCCCGACTTTTTTTAGGATATCGCCGTGGGAAAAATAATGCATTTTCGAATGTGAAAACGGCTGTTTTACTGATTTTTTTTCGATTACAATACATTACATTTTCCCACTGGGTTAGTATGTAATATCAGTCGGTTAATTTATGAGACTGAATTTGCTGTTTTTTTTTTTATCATTTACATGCAGTTAAAAATGAAATAAATTTCGTATATTTACAAAATTTTAAGATTGAATTTGAGTTTGCGTAGAGCATTCTATGTACTTACAGTATTCGTAGTTTCGTTAAGCGTTGAAAGTCAGCTTCAAAAATGACAGTTATGTTATTGCCTTGCAAATCGCTGGAAATAAGAGCAAAATAGTAGGAAAATATTAAATTAATAAAATCGCAAGCTTAAAAAATATTTAAAATTGTTAAATCTAGTTTTGAGACAAAGTGAGTCTCATCCAGTATACACTCTTTCTTGTGAAAGGTATTTTTAATTTTTAAAAGTTGTTTTTTAACTTATGGAAGTTATCTCTAACCAGTGAAAGCTCATTATTGAGTGAAAGCCTTTTCGCTGTATTGAAAGCACTCTATTTTGTGAAAGCACTATCTACGTGGTTAAGGATCTCTCCAACTTATAAAAACTCTCTCTAACCAGTGAAAGCTCATTCTAACTTGTAAAAGCTTTTATTAAATTTTGAAAGCTATCTTTGACCAGTGAAAGCTCAATCTAGCTTCTGAAGGCTCTTTTTACGTGATGAAATCTCTATATAGTTTGTAGAAGCTGTCTCTATTCTGCGAAAGCTCCCTGTTTTATGAAAGCCTTTTCCCTGTAAGGAAAGTTCTCTCTATTTTATGAAAACTTTTTCTATGTAGTGAAAGATCTCTAACTTGAGAAAAATATTTCAATTTGGTGAAAGCTCTCTCTCATCAGTGAAAGCTCTTTCTAACTTGCAAAAGCGTGTTTTTTGATTGTGAAAGCTCTCTATAACCAGTGAAAGCTCCATGTAACTTGAGAAAGCTCTTTTTACGTAATGAAAGCTCTATCTAACTTGAGTTAAGCTACCTCGAATGCCAAATTTCCTCTAAGCGTTTTTTTCTTCGCTTGTTAGGGTGACTTCATTGCATGCTTTTCGATTAGATCTTACGCTTCCGTAGTTTAATAGGCAAAAACAGAACAGATTTCCAAACTCCCTAATTTGACCTTGTAGTCAACCACATAATCTAGCTTGGACTTCTCCACATCGGCGTAGCCAGAATGAAATTTAGGGGAGGGGGGAGGGGGGCCTCGACCCTATTAAGCTGGCATTTCAGGGTTATATTTTATATATATATATATAAGGAAAATTTGAAAGTTAGGGGGGGCGCTCGAGCACCCCCTGCCCCTACCTGGCTACGCCCATGCTTCTCCATATAAAAAATTTTGTTCAAGCAGCAGCACCCAAGAAAGCGTTCGAGCCTCCCCCGACAGGATGAACAATTTCAAGCTTGTCAAGGAGGATTTTGCTACGCCTAAATTCTTGGCGACGAAATATACTGCAACAGTATACGGGGTACCAGATCATTGCAGGACTGAGGGCGACTAATTTTGAATAATTTTTGTAGAGCCGAAATCATTTTGTGTAGGTTAGGTTAGGTTAGGTTGAAGCGGCTGCCTGTTTGCAATGTTGGAGAGAGGCACACTTAGGCGCAGTGAGCCCGTTGTGATAAAAATTAAAATCTCGTATTCGATCCCGTCCGATCACATAGATTAGAGCCAGATGATTATGTTAATAAAGCGAGAAAATTTATGACTGACTGCTTCGATCAGGTCTGCCAGATAGACAAAGAGGTGTTGGTGAAATGAGCGTCTTCTCATCCACAAAAGCGCAGGACAGTGACAGACGTAGTATTCCACTCTCTCAACCAGTTGCACGTTGTAATACGGGTAACTTGCTTTAGTAGAGGAAGTTCTAATCGCATGAGTGCTTTTGATCTTTTCTTGCCGAAGCTGGACCACATTTGTCAAGTTGTCCCACCCCTGAATTTTTCCGACCATCTTTAATTAGTCTTCTCGAAGAAGTGTGTTTAAGCCATGCTTTGCCGCATCGTAAGCAGAGTTGAAGTCATACGTTCCGGCGGTTCCCTTCCTCGTCTGCTGTACAGTTATCTTGTATGTCTCTCTCACCTAGCAACCACACAATGTGGGTATGTATTTAGTAGACCTTGAAGCTAACTGGTTGAGGACCGTTTTTAATTCTATCGAAATTTTTGACGAAGTTAAAAGTTGCTTGCCTAGAATTTTTAGCAATTTTTTCGTCCGATGTGAGAAAAAGCGTCATTAAACTCAATAAACTTTTCCAGACGTTTGTTCTAATTTCTCCTTGAATGTTGACTATTTTAAAGGTAATCCTTGGTTCGCTTTAATTTTATAGTCATTTCATTTTATGGACAGAAAGCAAGCTCTTAGAGTTGGTTAATTCTACCGTCAGGTCATTAAGTAGCATCAATCGTATCAGAAATTTTCAGAAGTAAAAGAAGTTTTGAGCTCTAACTCTTACAGATGGCATCTCTGATTCGCACACTTACGGATAAACTTTCGTCTTTGATTACACTAACGCCCTCCACATATTATCCCTTGATTCCTATTGCTACATATCCACGAATCACCCAGGTCTGATTGAAAATCCAGTTAGTACTTCCAATGAGACTCTGAAGTTCTTCCAAAGATGTGCTTTCTATAAAATCAGCATAGTTTTATTTGAATTGCAACACAGGCACACAAAAAGTTTTGAATATATTCCCGTACTTTTTCATCTCCAGAGTGGCAGTTATAGACCAACAGAACTCCAGCTGCACCCGTTAGTATTCTCACAAGGGGTCGTGTTCATCTTTGAGTGTCTAAGTAAGTTCTGCGTGCTTTATTCTTTCGGTGTACGCTACGAAACACATTTTCTTAATTTTTAAATGCCCATATTTAAGTGGCATTGAGACCCAAAATATGAGGTACATATGATAAGAATGTATCATAAATAGTAAATATTTATGGTAGCAAGTTCAGTTGCATTCGAGCTTAATTTGTTTACATCTTTTTTACTTTACACATTTACTTGTGGCTTGAAAGGTAGGCCCGCTCAATTGCTACCACATAACCGAAGGGCAAGCGCCAAGGCCAGGGTCTGCAAACGCTTCAAAATAACTTTACTAATATACACATGCATACATACTTACACACATGCATATGTATGTATATATCTTCATAAATATCAAGGAAGCCAACTCGTGGGGAATTCCCCGATTTGCGCAGAATTTCAGTTTGCGTGGGGTATTGGGAATGGGCTGTTTTTTTGTGGAGAATTTCAGATCGTTCAATTCTAGTATAATAAAGTTTCAAATGGCTAAAAATAACCAATGATTTTTTAGAATTTTCTTTGTCGCATTTGCTTTCATGTAACGAATAAACATAATCTATTTTTATATGGAAGAAAACCGCAACAACTTCGGCAAAAAAATCCTAAAACGGAAATTTTTTAGCCACCTTAAACTTACACTTTATTATTCTAGAATTGAGTGGGCTACAAAACTGCATATTCAAAATCTTTCTAAAAAATCCAATTAAAAAGCTCGAAATTTTTACGAAAGTTTGTTGAATTTTTTTCAAATATTGCACAAAGTTTGAAACTTTGACATATGCGGTTTTTGTTAAAGAATGAACTATGTTTTTATAAAAAACAACTCAAATTAAATAACAAAAAAAAAATTATTTAATTTTTATTCTTTATTTGTTAACTAACTTTGTAAAAGTTTGGTTTGGTTTAGCAATACAATAAACAGCAAGACCCAGTAGTATATGAAAATACATATATATTTTTTTTTAACTAAGGAGATATCTATGGGTGGGGAATTTTACGAAATTTCGTGCAGAATGGGGGAATTTCACTGTCGAAATTGGGGAATTCTCAAAAATGAGTTGGCTACCCTAATAAGTATGTACACAACTATGCCTTTCTAAGCTCAACAAGTAAATTGAGTGCAAGGTATTCCATTTTCTTTCTACTTAACTATCCACCTACGCGAATGCTGCTGGAATTCGAGTGCAAGGGTGCAGGCTAAAATCTGTCTTCTTTGTTTGATTTTTTTTTTTGTGCATTTCAATTTCATTTTGGTTAATAAAGATTATCAAATGTTTACACAGCATATAAAATGCAAACTCAAATAGAAATAAAAATAAAAATAAAACGAACCAGAACAAAGTGTTCTTTTTAACCGAAAAAAAAAACAAAAGTTATGGACATTTGTGGACGTACATAAATAAATATAAAATTTAATTCGTTCTAGCCACTTGGTCGCGTGTGTCTTGGTGGTTGTTTGTATGCCTTCAAGTATACATACATATGTATGTAAATATGTGCACATAAGCCGACCAACAAACAAACTTAAATGTATGTATAAACATTTCTTCTTTTTATTGTTTGTAATGTTAATCGCTCAACTGCAACTTTTGCGTCGTACAGTGGCAAGAACAGCCGTTTTACCTGGCGGCTGGATGGAGTATGGAGATGGTATTTGGAAAGCGCACGTACACAAACATACAGCACAGTTATATACATATGTACATACCTGCCAGATATTTATGAATGCAACCACAGTGGGTGATATAAAAATTGGAACATACAATCGTATTTATAAAGTAAGAATATTTGCATGAAAAAACATCTGACTTAGATTAGACAAGGAGTGCCAGTTTAAGGGTCCCGAAAATTGTTTTCCTTTTCGTTTTAGTCGTTGTCTTCATGTACTTATTCGTCTTCAACTTTGTCTTCGCATTCGCGTTTGTGTTAGTTTTGGTCACTCTCTTCGTATCCGTATTAGTATTAGTATTCCTCATCGTATTCAGAGTCATATTCTTTTTCGTATTTATCTTCGACTTCGTCGTCGTCTTCGTCTTCGAATTCATCTCCGTATTCGTTTTCGTGTGCGTATTCTTCTTCGGATCCTCTTCATAGTTGCATTTGTCTTTCGTTTTAGTCTTCGCATTTACCTTCGTGATATTATAAGTCGCCATTTTCGTATCTATCTTCGTCGTCGTCTTCGTATTCAGCTCCATATTCGTTATATTTTTCGTATTCATTTACATATTCGTCCATTCGAATCCATCTTGGTACGTTGTCATATGTGCCTTCGCTTTCGTATTCATCTTCATCATCTTCGTCGTCGTATTCGTATTGGCCTTCGTATTTTTTCGTATTCGTCTTTTTACTCGTATTCGCATTCGTTTTCGCCGTCGTATTCGTCCGCGTATTCGCCGCCATATTCGTCTTCCTGCTCATATTCGTTTCCGTCTTCGAATCCGTGTTCATCTTAGTCGCCGTATAG